GGGGAGGGGGCGGGGGGGGGGCTATTTAAGTCCTTCTCGCTATAAATGGTCATATGCATCAAAACAGTGCTGCACTGGAAGTGGTTTATGCCCTACTCACGATTTGAATGGGAAAATTTCAGAGACCTCTTTGTGTAATGTGCTCGCATTTCTTTCCCACTTTTAAGCACACCTAAAGAGTTCGTTAGAACTGTTCAAGACTCTCGTTTCTTCCCCCCCCCCCCCTTAGATGTCAAAGATAATGGTAAGCGCATGGACACCGGTAACCTCCCTGTCCTGTTTGCTGTTTTGGTTTGGTTTGGTGTCTGTCTAGGGACACAGCGAATGATGTAGTTGAGTCCTGGGGGAGAACAGGAAGGTTCGCCAAAACAGACATAGAGCTCCTAAGGGAGAGTGGAGTAGTTCGTATGATTAGATAGATACCAGCCTGCAGCTACAGATACTGCTGCTGCATTGTGGAGGGAGCAGTTTATATTGAGTGGAAAAATCTCTAGCTGGAAAAGAAACCTTGGACCTCTGTACACTGTTTATGTGGTATGTGGATTTTTGTTTTGTTTTGAATTGAGTTTTCTTGGTGAAGGTCTTTATTTAGACTGGGAGAAAGTGATTGTGTTGGGGCAGATTGCCGTTTTGATGTTTTTGTTTTAATATTTCAGCTCTGTAATTAACATGTCGCTAAGGCAATTATTTTCAGACCTCTTGATGGTGAACCAGAGTAGAATGTCGTGCAGTGGGATGTGTACACGAGTACCACGAAATACATCTTGTAATCTGTATGCACCAGGAGGAATTTGCTCCCCCACTCCTCCCCCAGGTCAAGCCAGCTGCTGCAGAAACTGACATCCTCCAGCAAATCCTGAATGAATGAATGAAAACAACGTGATCGCCCTAATAATGACCACAACTGAGCACACATCTTTGGCTGTATTTTATAGAAAAGGCCACCATTTTCTAACAGATTAATGCCATATGCATGTCCATTGCACATTTTCTGTAGCTGTGTTTTATCAGCTCATTTATGAACATTAAAAAGAAGGCAACAGTTATATGAATTTCTGAGTGATTTAGCTTCAGCAAGGCGTACATTGAGTTTCAGGAGTATAATTTGGGCACTCGTGTAAAGATGTTAAAGTACGCAGCATTGCTGATCGTGTACACGAGGCTTTGTGGGCAGCACAAGAGTAGTTTTGGCTTTTTCTACCACTGTAATGGCTATCTCCTAAGTACCTCCTCACCCTTTTTGTTGACACTGACATCAACACATTATATAGTACAACTTGTTTTTCTGTATCCTCCAAAAGCCTTAATTGCTTAGGAATTGAATGCTCCGTCATCAAGTAGTTCTAAGGAAATTTGTGAGCTGTCCTCTGGTGTAGCTTGGCACATCTGACTTTAATGCAATTTTAATGCAATCATGATGAAAACACTTTCGGAGTCTGGTTGTACAGCAGACAGATTTGCATCATCAGGGAGCTTATATTGGGAATGGAAGGGCTTCCTCTGCTAGAGATTGCTGGAGATGTCTTTCTGCCACACCAGGAGCTTTTGTCAGATTCTTACACTGAGGTGATTTTGAATGCAGGCTCTTGTGCCCCCAGTTCCCTATGTCTTTGTCCCATCCTACTTCTCCCCATCCCATCTTGACAACCCCCACCCCAACCAAATTAAAACTGTAAAACTAATACATCCTGTCTGCTTAGCCATTTAAAATTCTTAGTGTGAAGAGCTGATTTTAGTTTTTTAAAGTCATTATCTACTCAGTTTCTGTTGAATCTGCAAGGTTCTGACTTCAGGGATTTTAGCCTCCACAGGTCAAGGCTCCTGCCGCCTCGGCTGCTGCAGCAGACACTGACATCACTATACTGCATGAATGAAAAACAACAACATGCCCCATTTCTTCCTCTGCCTTCCTTTTCTGCACAATCCAGAATGGTGTGTGTTGAGTGTGTGTGTGTGTGTGTGTGCATGCACTCGCGCACATGAACACATGCGCCTGTATGTTTAAGATGATGGTGTTATACTATCCTTAAAACTGCATTATAAAGAATG